ACCAAAAGAGGGGGGGAAGGGCACGTGGACATGATTAATGCCCCCTTTGCAATGAAAACTGGTATGCCAACTCCATTGGCCATGTACTAACTACCGGAAGGTTCACTGATTCCCCAACCTCTAATAATCTCCCCAAGGTACAAGTAGACCACACCATTTTGGTGCACCTTTTTTGCACCACCTTTTTTTGCACCTTCCAAGGCCATTTTACCTGGTGTTTTCTGGGCTCTAGGTCCTCAGAGGCGGGGAGCAGACGATTATTCAAGGTGCCAACTTGTGGCTTGAGCGAGGTGTCCTCCCCTGCAATTTGTATACTAACCAGGGAGGCCCAAGTTGTTTGCAACATTCATAAAGCACTGGGTCTGCCATTCCTTGGTCTCTCATGCAAGTTCCACAGGGGTTCATGGAGTCTCTTGGTCCACCCCCGAAAGGATTGTGAATCTGCATTCAAAGCAGCCTTCAGGATCCCCTTATATCTATTAGGCCTGCTCCTGTTGGACTGTAGGGCAGGTGACCCAGCACACCACTGCTTGTGATTGGGCCGCCCCCCATCTCAGGAATGTGGGTGCGATCTTCTACCCACCCCTGACCTGGCAAAGTTGTTTTAATAATAACCTTTGTAGTCTGGGTTATTGGTTTTACCACCTGCAGAGCAGAACAGGTATTGCTCCTCAGGCATACCATATCTTTCTTCTTCTCCACACCAAACCTGCAGCCAGAACCCAAATAGTGGAGTTCCAATAGAACTCTGGCACTGCCACAACCCCGAGTGGAACCGCTCTTGAGTTACATGCACATCTACTTTGATTGCAAGGGTTGGAATACGCCTAGCACCTGGGCCTGTTTAACAGCTATTTTTGCCTGTTGGAAGGCTTCTTGTTCTGTTCTACTCCAATCCCACAGTTGGCCTTTTTTTGTTAGTTGATACAGAGGTTTTAACAGTTGCACAGAGTATAGCATAAGGGATCTCCAATATTGTAATATGTCCAAAAACTCCTGCAACCACTTTGATGCCGTGGGAACCAGGAACACTTGGACCTTACCTATGACCTTACCATTGCCATGGGTTTATAGCCTACCCTTTCTCCTGTAAATAGGCAGTTAGTGAAGTTACTGACTCCTCTAATGCCTCCATTGAGTCAGATGTCAACATCGGATTATCAATGTAGTGGAATTTTTGACAATAGACTGTTTATTCCAATTTGCCAAGTCACACGTGATTATGATAAAAGGTAGGCGAACGCATGTACCCCGAGGAAGGACCTGAAAAGTCCACTGCCTGCCCTTTGAATGCAAACTGATCTTGGGATTTCTTAACAATTGGAACGTTGAAAAATACATTCGCCAGATCCAGAACTCAGTGGTATGTTTCTATTTCTCTACTTAATGCATCCACGAGCGAGGCGATATTGGGTACGCCTACGTGGATTGATGGTGTGACTTCATTTAGTTCTTCATAGCCTACCATCATTCACCACATAGCATCTGACTTCCTGACTGGCCACATGGGGGAGTTATATGGACTGAGTGCAGGTTTTATAATCTCTACTCTCTCCAACCCCTCCAGCAAAGCCTTGGCAATTCCCCACCAGGGAGTCTATATTGTTTTTTATTTGTAATTCAGCGTAGTTACTGCAAACAAATGGGGTCAGTTCTTGCCTTAAAGTTACCTGCACTACCCAGAAGCTGATACATCTTTCTCTTAGCCTGAACCCTCTCACACTAGTCTGGAGACTAAGACCCCACAGAATGTTGATTTCCAATATATAATCTGGAACTGGGGTGATACACACCCTGTACTGCTGGGGTGGAAGACCTCCAACCCCCAATTTCAACCATGATTGGGTTATAAAGATCATCTGCCCCTCAAACCCCCCCTTAAACACTGCCTTAACTTAAACCCCTCAAACACTGCCTTAGTGCCTGAAAATAGATTGGGTCACCATATATATTAGATGTTTCTGCTCTGGTATCCACTAGTGCCATAACCAGCTGAATATTCTTTCACAACTAATAAAGTGTTACTTCAACATAGGACCTCTGGTCCAGTCTGAAGGTTGCAAGGGATTTCTGCTCTTGATTTTCATCAGCCAGAGCCTCTTCAGACTTGCTCAACCAATTTAAAGCCATCATCAAAAGTGGCCGTGCCATAATAGATATGGCCAATTGTCATTTTTTAGTAGTCAGTATACTGCTAAGGGCATGGAAATACTTGGCCAGGCAGGCAGGGACTCTACAATACTTCCTCCATCCTGCAAGGAGCCCACTTTTCAATTATTGAAGTAAACCCATGATACAGGGATTTTAAGAGTCCTGGGTGTGTCCCTGCAAAATTTCATTCAAAGGGGCAGTCTTTCCCTATCCAAACTACCCCCTTATGTTACTTAGAAATGCCATACTAAATATTTTAGGAGGCTTATAACAGAATACCTTTAAAGGTATTTGGCTGCCTGGCTTGCCAAAACTTGGAGCAAAGGCAATGACAGAGCCTTTTCCTTAGATATAGGCTATAGAACAGAAGGACAAAAGAACTGACTCACCCCTTCCAATAACTGGCAATAACTCAAAAGAAGTGTGATCTCAGAGAGATACGGCTTCCTCAGCTTCTAACCCTTAAATGAGAGAGAAGATGGGTAGATACAGCCTCTACCCCTTCCACTCACTCAGGGGCACTGCTTGCACCTGGAGCTCCCTGGGTAAGCCACACACGATGAGCCACACGGTGCTCAACCATTGGTTCAAGCTGTGATCTGGCAATTCCACTGCACTTTCCAAAGGCTTTTTCACTGTGTTTCCCTAGTGCTCAATCTTTAGTGATGAACTGCATTTCCACCTTCAGGGAAGAAATTCAGTCCAAAGTGGTCTGTGTCCTTTATTTTGCATCTGTCCAGTACTTTATTTTTGTTACTAAGGATACCCACATAAAACAAATTTTATTTAGCTGTTCTGCTTCTAGGCATTCAAGATTATTCCAGTATTGTATGTAGTATAACTAAATATCTGCTGTATGTCCAACATTTATCATTGTCCAATGTCTCAAAGAAAATGTGATGAAGAACAGCATACCATCAGGAGAATTCCCTAATCAATCACAATTAAAAGGCTTTCCAGAGATTCTGCAGTACTTTCTGCAGTACTGCAGCACCGCTTTTTCTATCAGGATACTCTTAAAGCAGTGGCCTTCCTCTTACAAGTACCAATTTCATCACTGAATTTGTGCACAGAAGACGTTAGGAGCCGTATCACTGAACATGGTTCCAGCAGCAAATACTATCATAGCATAGCTTTGCCCTATTGTTAGACTGGTTTTGTTCTGTTGTCTTTTCTACAGACAGCGCAGAAAATCATAAAATCATTTAGATTGGAAAAGATCCTTAAAATCATCAACGTAATCATCCACCTAACTACCAAGTCCACCACAGTCCACCGCCATGCGGGCCCATCTCCCAGGCCTGTCCCGGTCCCATCAGGTGGGGCATCATCTGCACCACTCAGCTTGATGTCAGATGCAAACTTGCTGAAGGTGTCCACCTGGACACTGAGCCACCGACTACAACTCTCTGGATGCAACCATACAGCCAATTCCTTATCCACCCAGTAGTCCAACCTTCAAATACATCTCTATAATTTAGTGACAAAGATGATGATTGCTTTCTTGTATGTTTCTTCCATATTCACCCAGCTCTCTGAAAATCAGTATTATTTTGACTTTAGTGGACCTCACTGATCTACTATTCTTCCAGCTCCCCTTGGAAGAATTCTGATGTCCTTCAGCTTATGAACAGTCTTATCCTCTCCATACCAACTCAGATTTTTCTGCTCCAGAATTGGATCTTAATGCCTAGGACAGCAGAACAGCCGCTACAATACACAAATGTATTCCCTGAACAGCTCAGAAAGGTCATTTCCAGACTTCTAAGACCCAAGTGGGGAAAAATAAATTTGAATCCCACCCAATGTTCATTTTCTGTGGAAATCATACTTTCTACTCCTTTCACATGGCAGCTTAGGACACTCCCCCGGCCACACAGAAACTATGATTTACAGGAAACGTTGTATTGATTCTACAGTTTTCTAACAACTGACACCAAGATTTCTGAGGGTGGCCAAAAGAATTGCTATTATATCCGTAGCACTTACCTTTACAAACCATATCCTTCAACAACAACAACAAATATAAAGCAAAACAAACAAACAAACAACCCAAAACAAAAACCGAAACAACAAAACCATTGCAAGCCTCTCACCTGGAGGCACCCCTACAAGCTTTCAACAATCTCTAATTACTACTTTTTTTTCCCCTCCCTTTTAAAGTATCTCGCTTGTACATTCATTTCTCTGTGGCTCGGAGAGAATCAATAGTGCTTACAAGTACACTATTTATTGGCAATTTACTCCCGATTTCCCCCATCTAGGCTATCAATAGAAAGGCAATCTCTTTATGGAACTAATGACTTGCGGTAAAGTATAGACATCCATTTAATACAAATAAGGGCAAACGATTTCCCAGTCTTGGTTAGAAAAAAAATAGAGCTCACAAGGGCTTATCTCACTTAAAAAGAGTAACTTGTAGCCTTCTCTCATTAAAAGGATAAACTATTACAATAGAGCCAAGGGGGAAGGGGGGGGAGATGGGTGGGAGAGGAAAGGGGAGGGTTGGGAAAGAAAAAGGAAAAGAAAAAAACAAAAACCCGACATTGCTGGAATGAGGTCTAGTAGGTAGTTGAGCCTGTTTTTTCCAAGAAGGCAGCCTTCTTAGTAAACTAAACCACTGACAGAATTAAAGTGACAGGAAGACACGGCTTCCAGACAAAAAATAAACAGATACATCAAAGAGCTGTGAACTTTAACAGCAGTGAACTACTGAAAGCAGCACTGGCATTTCAGTCAATTGTAAACTGCAGTGCGTGGGCTCTGAGCACATGAGAAGGAAAGGCAGTGGTGCTGCTAATGAGCCCTTCATTTCAAGAAGGATATTAAGCCATAATAAAGCTGCTCACCTTGCCATAATTAAGAGTGCATCTCAAGGGACAAGTGATAGAACTTGCTTCTTGATGTGCAACAATCAAATCTTCAGTACTACTGACAAAGGACACAAGACAACAAAATTTCCAGCGAGGAATTTCAGGTTGAACTCCTGGAAGGACAGATAACCTTTGGCACTGAAACTCTGTAATGACTCATCGTTAAGAGGCATGACACAAGATGCAGGAAAAGATTCCTTCCAACCCTAGGGAAAAAAAAAAAGAGTGTTAGAACATGCTCAAGTCTAAATATAAATGAGTGCTTTCTTGGCTTAATTTACAGAACCCTGTAATGCAATATTCCAGTTAGAGAATATAATTAAGAACATAGAATTAAAACAAAATGGAAAGAGACTACAGCACAGAAACCATCTAGCCTAAACTCACAGACTCATAAAATCATATACTGGTTTGAGTTGGAAGGGACCCTAAAGATCATCCAGTTCCAACCCCCTGCTGCAGGCAGGGACACCTCCCATAGCCCGGGTTGCTCACAGCCCCATCCAGCCTGGACTTGAATGCTTCCAGGCCAGGCTCACTGGGCAACCTGTTCCAGTGCATAACCAGCCTCACAGTGAAGAATTTCTTCTAACCTCTGGTCTAAATCGACCCTCTTCCAGTTTAAAGCCACTTCCCCTTGTCCTGTCACTACCTGTCCTTATAAGAAGTCCCTCTCCAGCTTTCCTGTCGGCCCCTTCAGGCACTGGAAGGCTGCTAGAAGGTCTCCCTGCTGCCTTCTCTTCTGCAGCCTGAAGAGCCCCATGTCTCTCAGCCCGGCCTTGCAGGCAGGTGCTGCAGCCCTCGGATCATCTTCGTGGTCCTCCTCTGGACCCGCTCCAGCAGCTCCAGTCCTCCTTGTGTTGGGGGCCCAGAACTGGACGCAGTGCTCCAGGTGGGGTCTCCCGAGAGCAGAGCAGAGGGGCAGAATCACCTCCCTCGCCCTGCTGGTCACCCTTCTCTTGATGCAGCCCGGGATGCAGTTGGCCTTCTGGGCTGTGAGAGCAACTGCTGGCTCGTGTTGCATTGTAATCAGTCGGCACTCCCAAATCCTTCTCCTCAGGGCTGCTCTCAAGCCATTCTCCGCCCAGGTATATGAGGTCAGTCGCTCTCCCTTTATCCACTGAGGCTGTAATTCCATCATAAGAGACTACCAAATTTGTACAACAAATCACCTCAAAATGGCTTTGTTTTTTTCATGACTGCATTACTACCCCCCAGCACCTCCCATTTCTAAACATAGGGAACTTCCACAGGGATGCTGCAATGAAGCAGTACCACTGCATGAGGAATGTGGGCAGGCATCATGGTTACAGAGACTCAGGATGGGTTTTCTGCTTTGTCACAAACTGTCTAAATAGGACATGAACCAAGAGCCTTTGTCCCTTGCTCCTATGTTTGCCATAACCAATAGAATAATTCAGCAAAGTACATCTGCGTGGAGTGCTGCCCTCAGTTCACCCTTCCCTGATCACTGTTTGGATGTGGAGATTCACATTTGCACTTTGGGATAACTAGCAGAGTAGGGAATGGTTCCATGCACCGCAGACTTGTTATAGAGTCTACAAAGCAAGAGAGAGAACAAGCATTTGCACCCAGTGAATGTAAAACACAGGTTATTCTGTTCATAGCAGTACTCTCACACCTTTTCAGACATTTTCAGCTGCACAAAATCTACAAGAAAAAGTACTGCAATTTATGCACGGCAAATGGAAGCACAGAAGGGTTCATCAGAGCTTGTCTTAAGGTATCTGTGCTGTGGTGTATTTGATAACATTCCATTCTGAACACACAGGGATGTCTAAGTCTCAGACAAGCTTAATGTTACCAACCTCAGTTTTCCTGCGTGTCCAGCTGTAAAAAGGGTACTCACAACTCCAGCACGGAACTACGTCCACACAAGGCACTGACTTCATTATCAAGAAGAGCCCAGTAAGAGGACATCATTGTCTGAACGGTGCCCCCGCGTCCCACCGCCATGCTGTGCCGTGGGGCCGCTCCGGGGGAACACGCGGAGCCTCAGCGCCGAGCCCGGCACCCCGTGACCCCGACAGCTGCCGCCGCTCCCAGCCCAAGAGGAGCCACGACCCGACCGAGAGCCGCCAGGGGGCGCCGCCAGCACGCGCCGTGGGGCGCGGGACGAGGAGCGGCTGTACCCCCGGCCGGCGCTGCCGGGCCCACGCGTGACGGCCTCCGGGGAGCGGCCACGCGTTAACGCGCACACCCGTGCGTCGGAGCGCCAGCGTTCTCACGTTAACCCAGCTCGGGAGCTTACCAGCACTGAATTCACGTCTTATTAGAAACGTCTCAGACCGCTTGGTTCCCACCTCGAAACTCTTCTGGCAAAGCCATCAGCGCGGCGATGCCGCCAACAGCGGGAGGCCCCGGCAGCACGCGAGGTTCTGCCGGAAACGCACGGAGCTCCCAGGACCGGCGCAGTGCGCAGCCCCGGGGCGTAGAGAAGCGACCGGGGCCGCGGCTGGTGCCGGGAAGGGGGGCCGGAGGTGCCACTTATAGTCCCACGGAGGTCAATGGGTGGCTCCTTCTGCGCCCCGCCTCCTCGGAAGGCCGTAATGAAAGGCAGTAAACGAGTTCGGGAGTTCTGCTGGGACAACCGCACGTACTTCCACATGTGGAAAAAAACGGTGTCTTAGATTGCAGGGAAGTCACGGAACAGGAACATAAGCACTGTTAATTTGTAACACCTGCCGTCGGTGGCATGATCTGCTGGCCCACCCCACCACGCAGTTTCATGGGCTGAATGCTGGAGAAATTACGTGACCCAGAGGCCGAGAGCGGGAGGAGAGCCTCGAGACTGCCCGCGGGACACAGGGTGCACACAGTGCCTGTGCGGTGCGACACGCGAGAAAACGTCCAGAGTTTGGCGGGGAGGTTGGGGATTTGGGGAGTGGACACGGGCAACCTCCGGGAAAGCGGCGGGCCGGCTGGGAAAGAATCCCGTCTCGTCCCATCCCGACCGGCCGCGCATCGCCCCATCGGGGCCTCTGCACCTCCGCACAGCGAGGGCTGGCGGCTGTCGCTCTCCTACCTCGGCCTTCGGTCCTTGCAAAGAAAGCGAGTCCCGGCGGGGGACGACGCCGACAGGGCCGGCTCGCGGGAGAGAGAAGACGCGCGGTGCCACCTCCCACAGCCCCGCGCCCGCCGGGACAACCGCACCGGCCATCGCGCCCGTAATGCTGGGGTGAGAACCCGGCGTAGCTTTCACTGCTCTCTCTATTGGTGCTTACAACAGAAAATGTAACGCAGCAACGAAGTCGCTTACTGAACGTCCTTTGGAGCAGTGCCGTTGTTAACCCCACGTACGTACGTTACGCCTCAACGAGGACGCACAACGAGCTGCTCTGCTGCGTCTTTTCTTACCTGAGCGCCCGAAAACAGAGCGCGGCTCGAGCTGGGACGGTTCCGTCCCGAATGCGCTTCGGCGGCACGAATGCGGCGGCATCGGGCTGAACACCCGAAGAGGTCCGAGAACGGACACAGCCACATCCGAGCGCCGTGCCCATCGAAACCATTCCGCTCTCGGTCACTACGAACACTTCGACAAATATTAATTCCCCACTCGTTCATCAGTTAGCGATTATCTTATATTGGCGATGAATCAAAATACGTCAGAAGGCACTCATAAGGCAAAGAACGCGTTACGAACCTGCTTCCAGAATTATTTTCGGTCCGATACCTTCTTTCCCGGACGGTGCGCGCAGTTCGGTCCGGAACGGCTCCGGGGCGGCGCCATCAGCGCGGCCGTTCCGCTCAGGAGGTGCCGCCATTCCCGCAGCAGTGCCGGGCGCGAGCAGAGCCGTCGCTGTCACCATATACGGTCCCGCGAGGGTCCCGACGAGTACCACAGCGGCGAAGACAGAGCCGAGTATCAGCGGGAGATAGGCGCCGTACGATGGCCCCACTCCGTTCCGCGGCCCCGCGCTGGTCGAGGGGCAGCAGCCCCCGAGGCCCGGCCGCTCCGCGCCGAGGCGGATCCCCGCGGACGGCACGGGGCGGCGGGGCGGAGCGGACAGTGGACGCCCCCCGCGCGCTCCCTCGGCTCCGGGGCCCGCCCGTCCGGCGCGCCGTGACGTGTCGCGGTAGAAGAGCTCTCCGCCCTCCGATTGGGCCGCGGCGGCAGCGCGGGGTGGCGGCCACCCAATAGGCGCGCGGCTCGCAGGTGCCCGCGCGGTTATCTGCGCCCCGGGCGCGGCGCGGCCTCGGACGCGCGGGCGAAGGCGCGGAGCCGATCGTGCGGCGCCTACTGGAGTCCCGCGCGGCGTAGGGCCGCAGGCAGCCGGGACGTAGCGCGCTCCGCGCACCGCTCCGGTAGTGACGCTTCTCTACTCCCACCGTGCCGTCGGAGCTCGGTGCCGAGGTTGTTTCGCTCCGAGCAAACTTTACCGGCGGCCGCTGCCCGCGACCCACGAGCGGAGAGAGGACCGTGCCGGCGCTCCTCGCGCGGGGCCGTACCGCGTGCTTCGCCCCGCTCGGAGCAGGACCGGCGTCCGTGGATGACCGCCAATGTTAGCTGTGGGGCAGATGGATGCTAACCGGCAGAGCGCGTTCGTGCTGGGCAGCACGCCGCTGGCCGCGCTGCACAACATGGCCGAGATGAAGAGCTCTCTATTCCCCTACGCCCTGCAGAGCCCCTCCGGCTTCAAGGCGCCGGCCCTGGGCGGCCTCAACACGCAGCTGCCCCTGGGGACGCCGCACGGCATCAGCGACATCCTGGGGCGGCCCGTGGGCGCCGCCGGCAACCTGCTGGGCGGGCTGCCCCGCATCAACGGCCTGGCAGCCTCGGCCGGGGTGTACTTCGGGCCCGCCGCCGTCTCCCGGTATCCGAAGCCGCTGGCGGAGCTGCCGGGGCGGCCGCCTATCTTCTGGCCGGGAGTGGTACAGGGCTCTCCGTGGCGGGACCCACGCCTCACCTGTCCCGGTAAGTGCGACGCTGCGGGGCGCGCCTGGCAGTACCCCCTTCTTCCCCCCGCCCCGAGCCGCGGAGGGCGGCGCGGACAGCTGGAACTCGCGGAACGCGGAGGTGGCTCCGCACTGTGCCCCTCTCCGGAGCGGCGGAGCCTCGGGGCAGACCCAATCCCCTTCCTCAGTCCCCTCGTCCCGAGTCGGGCGCGACTTGCGGCGAGCGCGAACCCCTCCTGACGGAGCTGTTTTTTCTCCGTTTCCAGCTCAGACGGGAATGGTTTTGGACAAAGACGGGAAGAAGAAGCACTCGCGGCCGACTTTCTCGGGGCAGCAGATTTTTGCTCTGGAGAAAACCTTCGAGCAGACGAAGTACCTGGCGGGGCCCGAGCGAGCGCGGCTCGCTTATTCACTGGGGATGACAGAGAGCCAGGTGAAGGTAGGTCCCGCCGTCCGCTCTCTTTTGCACTCAGAACCGTGCCGCTGCCACGCGGGGCATTTTTTTTTTTTCTTAAGTCGATGATAATTTAAATTACACCATTTGGATACTGAACAGATTTTTTTTTAGTTTATTTTCTACGTAACTTACTTCGTGCTTAACGCTCATTATGCTGCAACCGATTAAAAAATTTCCCTATATGAATTCATCGCTCAACGTAGCCCGTAGGCGCTGCTCCCAGTGGGCTGCTCCGGCGGCCGCTGCTCGGCACTGCTCAGTGCGGAGCCGCGCGGTGTTTTGGCAGCGGTGTTAGGAGCCCTGAGGCGCGGACGAGCTCTGCCCGTAGCCGTGCCGCTGCCGGCGCCGCGCTGCTTCGTTCGCGGGGCCAAGACGAGTGACCCCCGCGTGTGGCCGCCATCCCCCGCGGGGCCGGGATGGGGCGGGAGAGGCGCGGGGCCGGCCGAGCTGAGCGCTCCTCTCGGGGCCAGGTGTGGTTCCAGAACAGACGGACCAAGTGGCGGAAGCGGCACGCGGCAGAGATGGCCTCGGCGAAGAAGAAGCACGACTCGGAGACGGAGAAGCTGAAGGAGAGCTCGGACAATGAGGACGATGATGAATACAACAAACCACTGGACCCCAACTCAGATGATGAGAAAATTACGAGGCTATTGAAAAAGCACAAATCCACGAACCTCGCCCTCGTCAGCCCCTGCAGCACCAGCTCGGACACGTTGTGAGTGGTGCGGCTGGATGTTGAAGTGGTGTATTGTACAGCCCGAGATGTATGTGAAATGTATATATTTTTTACAGAATAAGTTATGAAATTATTTTCTTTCTCATCGATGTAAATTTCAGAGGAATCTTTACGACTTCTTGGTTTTCCTTTTATGTCCCTTTCAGGTTCGCTCCTCTCTCTTTCAGCTAATTCCTGCTCCTAACAATCAGCGTTTGTCAACGTTTTGAAAGGAGCACAAAACCCCAGCGTGGCCACTTTGTACATAGTGAACTTCAGATTTTGTGATGTATATTTCTAGTGTAAAAACGGCGTTTTCTTTCACTCCCTCCCTCTGCTCAGGGGCTTGGCGGTTTGATTTCTTCTGCCTCCGGATTTTATGCTTAATAATATCGAGAGGGGAAAAAAAAAAGCGAGAGAAAAAAAAAAAAGGACACCTGATTTTAAATTGGATTAATGCTGTCGTCTCCACACGGGTTGGAAAGACTTCGTATAAATCAATAAATTATTTAACACGCTTTGCCTTCAGCGCGCTTTCCACGGTGGTGCCGCTTTTTGCTCAAACCGGGCAAGAGGGGCCGCACCTCCGTGCTGCGGGAATCGCAGCTGGACGCGGGGTGGGAGAGCTCGGGGCCGGGCTGCCGCAACGCTCCGGGGCCGTAGTGCCGAAGGACCGCCGTCGGGGAGACTCTATCCGCTCCGATCCCGTGGCAGTCCACGGGCGGGGATCGGGCAGCAGCGCTCCGCAGGACGGGTTTGGCGCGGCGGGGCCGGGGCTGAGCCGGGAAGGTCGAGTCCGACAGCGGCGTCGGGAGCGGCGTTCGGTACAGCGTGCCATTCTCGCGTACAGTGGCTGCCCGCAGCGGGAACATACGGGTGGTGCGTGGGTCTAAGAGTGCACCGTGACACTCGGGGTCGAGGGTCAAACTGCACCGGTACGGAAAAGCGGCCAGACAGCCGCGGCAGCTGCGGCGTTTGCCACGGGGAGCGGAAGGCGAAGCCCGGACGGCGGCCGCAGTGCGGCCACCGAGGGCAAAACCGCCTCGAGCGCGGCGGAGACCGTCGCCAGCGCCATCTCCTGCACCGCGAGCCTCGGTCCGCAGCGCCCGCATCCTAGGCTCGGGACCGCCGCGCCGTCAGCCCGACGTCATTCGGAGGTCTCGCAGCCGCCCGGCGCTTTGCTGTCCTCGAGCGTATTCGAGGCCGGGCGGGTGCGAGGCAGCTTCAGGGTCGTTCTGCTTCAGTTCGACTACTTTTTTAAACGAACGAGACGCGATTTCTGCCTCTGAGCTGCTGCGCGGCAGCCCGAGGCGGTGCCCGAGCTGCGGGCCGCCTCCCGCAGAGCTGTGCGGCGCTCCCGAGATGCGGAGAAGCAGCAGCCCCGCGGAGCCGCCCCGCGCTGTCCGCTGCGCAGCGCTTCTCTCAGGGACGGGAAGAGCGTTTCCCGCCCGGCTGCCGCAGCGCAGGGCAGCGGGGTCCGCGTTCCCCCTCACTGCCGCCGGCATCTGCCGTGCCGCCCTACGGTCGGAGTCGATCAGATTTAGAAATTAATCTCCGCTTCTGTTTTGGTCACCGAGACACGGCGTCGGCGCCGCGGCTGCCCGACTCTCGGTGGAGAACGGCAAGATCAAAAACACCCACCCCGAAAGCGGGGAACAGTTACGCCCGTTACCGCTCCTTATTTCTTAAAACGAAACGCGCCTCGCGGAACGCGACGATATGTACCGGCTGTGCGCGCCTTTCACAGGACGAGGAACGCGGAACCGCAGCGCTCTGTCCCGGGCCGCCCCGGCGGCTGCGATGGGAGCGGGCCGCTGCTCCGCGCCGGGGTCGGTCGGGGCTCTGCGCGGGGAGCGGCAGCGGAGCGGTTCGAGCGTTGCTCAGCGGAGGAGCTCCGCTCGGTGTGGGACGGAGCCCCGACGGCCCCGCAGACTGCGCCTTTTTTTTTTAATTATTATTTTTTGTTTGCTTTTAATGTTAAATTTGCATTTTATGAATTTCTACGCGTTAAATTTGAGACTCTTTCAACTCCACAGGTTACCGTGCCGGGTCACCATGTTACTGACTGCTGCAGATGGCTTGGGACTATTTACGGCCTCGCAGTTTATAGCTCTGCTGAATTTATCCATCAATGAGGCTTCAGTCTGAGTTCGAAGGCAGTCTTCTTTTTTTTTTTTTCTTCCTCCCCCCCCCCCCAAACACAGAGATAATCACGAAGCACTTTACGGTGGCATATTTATTGAGCTACGGAGACTGGCATCTCATCAATAGCTCATAAAGCTGTACGTCTCCGTATGTGAACACTCCAATACAGAGCACTCAACGCCTTTTTCTCAGTTTGCATTATGTTTTGATTAACACCACAAGTATGTTCTCTTATATGGGTTTTCACTCAAAAAATGACCCTGTTAATTGGCAGGAGATTAAAAGGTAACTCATTAGTATGGAATCTAACAATTCAATCATTTCCCAGCAATCCGCGATGCCTGCATTGAAGGGAGAGACACACGAACGTTCACCATGATCAGTTTTATTGCTTGAGAACCATAGTACTCATTTCTAAAGGCCTTCGAAGTTACCATGAGTTGAGTTTGCTTAAATAGAATTACGGTGTGGTTACAATGCAACATGGCACAGTAACAATACAGAGCTGCAGACACCCTTCGAGCAGCAGTACTCAGTAGGAACAGTACGGATTGAACTGTTGAGAAAACATTCTGCAAGCAGACACCAAATCATTTCAATGGTAGTGATTTATACCAAAATCCAGCATAAATCTAATGCCATCACGCAGTCCATGAACTCTGTAGTGTTCTAAATTAAATCAATAAAACATACATTTGTGTTTCATCAACAGACTCCCTAATCACCTTTTAATGTTGTATTTAGTGGTGGAGAAAAATGTTACTAACACGATGATCCCGACAGCTGCACTGAGCTGCCAACCAGGGCAAGTTACGGTCCTTTTTCCTTCCTTTAGCACTGTATGTACACAGCCAGCGTCCAACAGAGTTGCTACCTGAAGCAGACCATTAGTTTCTCCTCCCATACTGTTGTTGTTTTAATACAGAATACTTGGCACCATAAAACAGTAACAAAGGACAGACAAAAACAGTTTACAAAATTCTGGAAAGTTACACCCAAACCTAGCTAAGAACTTCACATTCAATCCTTAATAGTACATAGAAAGAAGGGATTATAGGAGCAACAAAGTGAAACTGCTAATATATGTACTATAGAGTAAGCTATATATCCGTATCGAGGATGGCACTGCTATATATTATTTATTATATAAATGTTGGTTGTTGATGTTCACTAACTAAACCTGCTACAGCTCCAACACTACTGCTGATATGGCACTCTCAAGCATTCATATCCGAAAGTATATTTAGCATAAGTTTTGGTCAGGTTTATAAATTATTTATATATCTGTGTATATATACACATACATACATATATATACACACACATATGTATGTATAGAAAGCAGCTGCTGTGTGATTCAAAAACCATGAAACATGGCAGTATAGTAAATAACTTGAGAAAAGAATTATAAAAATGAAAAACAAAACACTAAAACTAAAACACAAACCATAAGCCTTGGTCGACAAAGAAAATACCATTTAAAACCATCGATATCTCCATCTATACAATCCAATGTACAAAACCCCAAAGTGGTAAAGATAATATAATGTCAGGCATGACACCTATAAAAGTTTAGAATATGTTGAATTAACTTTTCCACATCATCGACAAACACTTACTAAAAGTTGAAGGTTGTGAAGTCTAAAATACATAACATCTCTGCTGTCTATTTAGAGTTTTGGCAACAGAATCGTGACATACATATATAAAAAATAATTCCACGTTTCTACTTGATGTCACATGAACATACAAGACAGTGAGGTATGTGAGGCTTTTCTCAAACAGAGTCCAGATGCTGAAGCATAGTGTACGATCAGCAGTCTAAGAACGTGGCACTCAGGACGTATCGACACAGCTGTTACGGGTATGTATTTCTGGATGCTGCCATTCCTCCCCTCCTCGCTACAGTGTTGTTTCATGGAAAATCTTCTCGTTCCGAAGGCATCTTTTTCCTGTTGCAGAATTGGCATTTTTTTAAAAAAAGAAAAATAAACACAGGGGCAATGATGTAGAAAATATAAACGTAAAGGAAAAAAAATGATATTTACCACCACATCACTGCACGACACAACACTTGTGCACATTTGCAATAGGTTTACCTGCCCCAGCAGCTATTCGAAAGGACAGGAACACAGGCTGCAGCAAGTCAGGAGAAACAGGAGTTACACATTGGAAATCTTTCTTTTTCAAACAGTAATAAACACACAAGAACAACCCTACGACTGGAAACAAAGCAGTGCAACGATTTCTTGGATTAACTGAATGACAAAAAGCACGAGAGCTATCACAGCTCTCTGATCCCACTGAAATCCAAGGGACCATTTCCCACTGATTCCTGCAGGTAGGGCTTCCCATGCACCTCCAACCTATCACAGAATCAGCTCAGCTGAGCAAAAATCCACGTTCAGTGCAGCAGTGACAGAAGAAACAAATACGATCGTTTTTGCAGTGTCTGTCAGCCACTGACACACCAAACTTTTAATTTGCTGCAGAAGCAGTAAACCTCTGCATCTTACATCGGGATCACACGTTCCTTAAGTGCGGTCTTAGGAAAAAAAGTGCTCTGTCTCAGAAGAACACTGACCACGGCAAACAGAAGTACACAGTTATCAATTTGGATTTATCCATATATTTATCCGCATGTATTTACCCACCACCCACCCCAGAACGACCATTCGGGAGCTTTAACACCACCTCTAGCACAGAATACCACCACTGTTGCACAGCTGTGAGCTGAGCAAGTTCCAAGCTGGCTTTTTCTGAAGGTACTCAATCACAAAATTCTGCAGCTGCCATCAGAAGTCCCCTCCCACTCCCTGACCTGGCACTTCAAGGAGAGCAAACACTCCATTTTTCTGCAGTTCTGCCTCAGCTTTTCCTCTGATATCCTCAGCAAAGCTGTCTGTAAAATCCCTTTCTTTTTCTTCACTGACACAACTGCTACTTATTATAGAATTCAATATTCTTTTTCTTACATGTTGTTTAAATACGGATCTGCCAATATGCTACTTTATGGGTAACTGGCTGGGTTCCACATTAAATTTAATGATGTATCGGAAGCATTTTTTGAAAACCCGAAGAAAAAGATTACGTTTTACATGGATAGTTGTAAGTGTGCACACATCAGTTCCTTACTCGTTTTGTACAGTATCATATTTTCTTTCCAGCACACACCATCCTCCTCCTTGTTTGGTTTCATACAAGTATCTGCTTCATTGGCTGATTTTGGCTGAATTCAACTTTAAAATAATCCCACAGCTTCCAATTCAAATTACCAAGTTGAGGAATTACTGCTTTACATGTAAAATTAAAAGAAACTATTGCACACATTCCCTCCCTAATAAGAAAAGAAAACAGAACAACAGAAAGTTTTGTTTATTTACCTTGTGATCCCCCATGCAGACGTTTGGCCCAATGTGGTCATATATTACAATCTTCTCATCATTTTCTGACTAGTTTAAAAAACAAACAAACAAACAACAACAACAAAACCACCAACAGGAATAAACAAGAGCTGTCAGTTCAGCTGTCCTCCACTTTACAGAAACAGGGGAATGGGGTGCTACAAATAATTCAGAATGGTTTCTGAATGAGGACGGTTTATGGAATCACACAATTAGGGGACAGAGTCACAGAACAGGTGATGCTCATACAGTAACACATCTTTTCTCGGCTTTTCCTGAGAGAGAGTTGCAGAAAGAATCTTTACATTCAGTACTGACTGCAGCCATTTGTACACATAAATTAACTCATGAAATCACAGTGCCCACTCCTTGCTTCTGGGGCCTTAAGAAATGTTAGAGACTAACATTTAGATAGATTAAGTTAATCTTTCCTTAGGTTTGCATTCAAACCTTGTGCCTGCAGAACGCAGCCCACTGCACTGCCTGCTTCCTTTTAAGAGCAGCACACAACTGTATGCAGTTGGCTAGGATATCTCTCTGTTGCTCTTTGAATTCCAAGCAATCCATGTTGCCCCATGGGATGAGTTTATTTCCTCACACAGTTGATTTTAAATGTTCAGAGATACAAATTATTTACACTTTAGGAATACAATCTTCTATCAGTTCCATGATATACACTCCTTTCTTTGAAAAAAGCATGAAGTGATTTTGGGAAAATCAGCAGGAAATGACATATGATATTCCTCCAATCTGCATTATGAATTGCTTTCATTTTGTTCTGTGCTGAATCCTTACACACTCACACACTGACTTCTTTAGCATTTGTACTTTCACGGGTCATAAAATGCATTCATCTTTCAGCCATTCGCAACACAATATAATTTTCAGAATGTTTTGTTTCTCCAGCACAGTACTTCAGGAATAAACACAAACACATTGCCATACACGGCAATTTCTTATTATGCTAAACATTTTCTACCAGCTAATTCAGTCTGCAATCTGCACACTCTGAAGTCTCTCATATAACCACAGGCGATGCTCTTTAAACTGGCTGGCAATACTAATTTATTTAGTATGAAACAGTCAAGACTTTCTCATCTGTAATCAGTCAGGTCTGACTGGGCAGTAACATTCTATAAACACCAGCATTTTGGACTATAAAGTTAAAACTGAATTATCTTTAATGCAGTAAGGAAGCTTAAGGTCAGATTTACTTTATAGCAGGTTGTCTGCCAAAAATATAAAAACATAACCTTCTGCATTGTATGCATGAGCCCTTTCCAATATTTCAAGATCATAATGCCACTAGCATCGGAAGTGGGGATACATTCATCAAAAGCGACTTGATAATTTACAAAGGCAGCATAAAATTGTGGATTTTCAACTGCATAATCTTTGGACAGATAAACAAATTACAGCGGTGCACAAGCAGAAACAATATACACTTGGCTGAGCATTCATTACTTCACGCTATCAGGCGTCAACGCAGCTCCCTAGCAGTGGGCAACCTTTGGTGTTTTAGGGCTCAGGAGGCATAAAATAACATGATGGTGAGGTAACCGACCATAGCATGATAGATGATGTTGCATGAAAGCTGTTCACAGCCCCATGTCTGTACAATCTGTAATGCCTACTGTGTAGCAGAGCCCACTGTACAGCGTGGCAACTTGTGCATACTGTTCTTTCTTCACATAGGGTTAAAAGGCAGCTTTACAATTTCTGTTTGAAATAAAATACAGATCTGCCAAGGCAGAAAAATAAACTCTTCATTTGCCTGTAAGAATTAACACCACCTAACAGTTACCCTCATAAGAATTTCCAATACCTAACTGGAACACACCAAAAATATTTAAAAATTGATATTGATATAATTAATGAAAAGTGATATGGTTCAGTGCTGGTGGTGGCAATGGTGATGAGGAGACGGTTGGACTAGATGATCTTATAGGTCGTTTCCAACCTTGTGATTCTATGATTCTATTCTATGATTCTATGATTCAAATTTCAAGGATTTATTATACTGTAATTAGTTAATTAAAATTTGCTTTTTGTTTCCTAAGTTCCTTCCTACACACCAAGGCGTAAGGTTCTGCAGTGAAATACATTCTCAGTGGCAAAGCAAATGCTGATGGCTGCACAAAACCACAGAAATGAGCACCGCCATTTCGCTCTTTCCTCTATTGGTTCTTTTCCATTTAATATATTCAATAAATTTTATGAGCCACAATTACAGTTTATTTTTGATCCAGATAAGCTAACTCCTTCCTTGGTATCAGCTCACAGAGTTACACACCCATGCCTGTTTGGCTTCCTTCATATTTGTAGTTTTGCACACACGTTTCTGGAAACGTCCCAGACGGCACGCTCCTGATTTGAAAGTACAAAACTGCAGTGAAAACACAGCACGCAGTTTTAAAACGTAAGCTCTGAATGATCCAGCTGACTGCATTTCTGTTCCACTGAGACCAAAAACTGGCTAACTGACCTCACAGCTACTAACTTCTTTAATGCTCTACCTTTGTTTTCTTTTGTTTAATTTTCTCCCATTATATCCAAGTTATACCCCCCAGATAATCTGAAAGAATTCCTTTCCCTCTGTACTGTTTACACTCTTCAAGCCTTTGTGTACACTTCTATCTCCTTATTCATAGTTTAAAAAAAAATCTTGCCCCATTGGCCACTCTTTCCATGGTTTTAATCCTTTGTTCTTGAGGAATTCCAGGGGCGCCAGGCGCTATCTGTAATATTTTGGGTAGAGCCTCCATTTTTCCTATTCTAGTTTTGTAGAAGAAGATCGAATGACTTTGATTCTGACATTACTGTTCTTACTACAAAGCCTATATTCGTCTTGGCTTTATAATGGTTTTTCATTAAGTTCCGTAATACAGGCATTGTCTAAAATTTTAGGTGAAACTTCAAGATATCATGCAGACACATACATTAAAACGTGTGAGGAAGTATGCTGGACTGAAATGTGAGTAGCTACATAAAAATGTTCTCAGCCTTTCAGTGAGTTATATACTGCAAAGCAAACAGTCTAATCATGAGGTAAATAGCCCTGATGGGAGAGAGAACAGGAAGGTTATAAACTTCAGGGAACCAAGTTTCGAGGGTTTCATTACTTTAAATGGAAGAAAAAAAGATTTACATGCAAAGATTACTTCCTGTTAAACTGTACTGGTTATAGAGAAAAATACAGATAGACAGATGACTTTGGGCAATTTGGCATTTGTAAAACTGTTACGCACGTGACAGGTAAACAATCTGGTCAGCAAAGCAGCCGCAGTGCAGCAGAGCTGAGAAGTCACAGCACAGTCCTTTCTGCATGGCAGTTATGGCCACTGCTCGCACAGCAGGAGGGATCTTACACAGAGCAGAAAGCCATGGCTGAGATCTCCTCATGCACTGATTTCCTGATGGGTTTGGGGTCTGTTAGGAACTGACAGCACAACAGAACAGATCTCCATGTTCTTGCCGTGACCAAACACACACAGGAAAAAACAGAAGCAGCGCACGTTGGCACATGTAACTAGCTCATCTGGTTCAGTGTCTCTACGGAAAACAGGAGAGCAGAGCAAAGTAAAGGAAAGAGACAAAACAAGAGACCTGTAAGGCTCCTCCTGAACTACAATTAGGTCATTTAGCCTTGAATAGAGCATCACTAAGCTTATCTGACCTCTAGGCACTGAAATCCTAAGAGGAACCGTATATTCTAAAAATGGTGCAAAATAATATTTCTAAACTCTAAGAGAATGTCTAAATTTACACCAACTTAATTGGTATACCAGAGTTAGGAGTCTGTCTGCTGTAGGCTGTCCTTCAGTGGACAGTGACAGAACATTTGACCCACATAGGGCCGGACACATTCTTGAGAAATGCAGTTCTCATTATCAACAACAGAGGGAATCCATATCTACTACACTTTAACTCAGGAGCTCAAGCTGTTCCTTCACAGACTTTTCCTTCAGTAACATCCTTCCTCAGTGGGAGCTACTCCTGGCTGCTTCTGTCTGCCTCTGTGTTGAGTTTTTATTATGACAGTCCTGCTATTACCTTATTCCCTATGTTACTTACAGGGGGCTTGACAGCGAGACTAATGGAGGTTATTGATTCATTTTTATTCTTTTTTAAACCAGGCACGGTTTCCCAGCGCAGTTCAGAAATGCCACAGTAGGGCACTGACAAATGCAGCCCTGACAAGCTCTGAAGTGTTATAGGAGAGCAAATCGTCAGTCAGCACTGGAACTCAGACATCAAATGAAGCATTGTGAAAGCCTGTGCTTTGGTAACTGTCCAAGGGTTAATTGGGACAAATCCAGATTCTCCAATGGGAAGCACTGAAGTTTAATAATTCTGTATGTGCTGCCACCAGCTTAGTGAGGGTTTGCTCTGGTCAACTGAAAATTCAGGGCCACGCAGAAAGGTATCGGCCGTACCTAACCTTGTTGAAGTAAAACAGAATCACAGAATCACAGAATCACAGAACTGTAGGGGTTGGAAGGGACCTCCAGAGATCATAGAGTCCAACCCCCCTGCCAAAGCAGGATCCCTACACCAGGTGGGGTGTGGGGACACATGGGGGAAGCAGTACGGCTGCAGATCCAAACTTACTTTCAGAATGAGCTCCTTGGCTGAGTGGGACATCAGGATCCTGTCACACCAGGCTGGACATCGTGTATTCATGTACTGCTTTCCCTGGGTGGAGTCCTCGCTGTATGGGTAACTGCAAACACATTGTCATCACAACAGTCAGCAGCCTCCTGCAAACATCCTGAAACCTCAGGCTCAAACAACAACATTAATTAATTATCTAATTAATACTAATTAATATCTAATTAATATCTAATTAATACTAATACTAATTAATCAAACAACAATAATTAATTGGCAAAAAGCAGCCCCTTTGAACATCTCACACAAAGAAGCTGATAAAACAGAAGTTATGTCATAGGATCACTATGAATGTACTCTGGGGTCTCCAGCAGGTTCTGTTTTAGCTTTAAAACGCAACAAAATGTTTATTGTGACCTGCAGAACACCCTGAAAATTAACTCTGTTTATCTCCGGAGTACAGGCCTGGGAGAGCCAAGGCTGAAGTCACTGAAAGCAATGGTACTGGCAGCCTCAGGTTCAACCGTCAGGAGGCTGTGTCCAAAGCTTTCTTTGTGAGTGGATCGTATCCAAGCCTTCTCACTACTTTAATACGATGGACCTTTGAATTTGATGCTCACTGGTTATGCTGTAAGGACCACTGTTTTCCCAGACCACTTCCAGAATGGTACGGGTACGTAGCCAAAGGGGCTTGGAGGAGGTCCAAAGGGGCTGTGAAAGGCTCAGTTTCTTGCATACTGGACCTGAATTAGCTGAACTCCAAATAAACATACTTAAAAACATTAAGCTGGTGCATATTACCTACATGCGTGTGTGTATTTAAAATACAGATATCTATATTTTATCCTGCTTGTGGTTGAATTCATAATGGAAATACTGAGGTTTTCAGGACATGTGTTGAAATAAAATTTCTGGGATGTAACCAGAGGGCTTGCATGCTTGAAGAGAAACTTATTTACCACCCTACTTGCTGTGATGCTCTGAAACTGAGACATTTTGCTTTCTACCAAATAAGTTTACAAGCTACATTGCCATTAAAAAGATTAGCCATGGCAAACATCCAAGGAAAGCATACTGAATGTACTGGAACAAACCAGTGATCTCAGTACCTTTTCCACCTCATCAAACCTAACAAGACTCATTTTCAAAACATATTATGAGAATTCAATTTGCTGCTTCACTGACATACAGAAGTACAGCTTATTTCTGAGCGTCTGTAAGATATTTTGATGATGTAATACTATTGGTAGCAGAAGCTCTTTGTCTGCAATTTAAGGGTTCACCTTTTCTGGTAAACCTTTTTTAGTTACTCAGGAATCCTAAACAACTGGAGCTACTTTTTATGATAGAAGGTTTAAGAATCAATCACGTTTCATACAATCCTCCCTTTTACAGTATTAACTGTACAGCTTTTAAGATAAGATGCTCTGTACTTGGAACGATCTGTTACCGCTATGTTAGAGTGCTTCATTCAAGAGCTTAAATTCTGTAAAATGGTGTTCATCAATTTGCTTTATTCATCTGAATATTTTCAAAGGGTGAAAACTGTTGCCAATTTTTCAAGGTCTCTAGCGCTGATCACCCAGTCAAGGAGGTATGGTCACTTAAAATATATCTGACCCATCAGCATTCATGCCCAATGGCTAGGGCAGAAATGAAGATAAATGTTGCAAAAGCTATCCAGACAAAATCATCTGTAGGTAATAATTCCATATGCTAAAATGAGGCAAGATCTTTTTATAAGCCAGCATCCGTCCCTCAGGCTAGAAGTGTGACAGCATTCTATCTTGACAAACTCCAGTGACAGAGGCTTCTCTCTCCACACTGCCTTATCTTTGTCTTGTGCCAGTCTCACTCCTGCGAAATGCTGACATAGATGTAACAAAAAAAAAAAAGTTATCTGAATTCACCCCTAAGAAGTAAGGAAAATTCTTTGCTCTCCCCCTTCATGCTCTAGATGGGTCCCGTATGCTTTGGAATAAGCAGATTCTTTTTGTAGATTGTCTCAAAAAGTGACCTAAATATGATTCCTGAAATTGCCAGGAGTGATTCTTTTCGCAGCTTGGCAGGTTTTGTGGACAGGGCAGCTTAGTTCATTAAATGTACTTATCTTAGATAGCTTTTTTTTGCAATTAAACACTCTATCAGAAATTTCTGGCATAAGACTGCCACTGAATAAATATTAATGAAACACATCACTGAACATACAGTATTCCACAATACAACTTTTCCAGTAACATACATTCCAGTACATGTCTCTGTCATCCCATTCTGTGGTTAAATGAACAGTGGGATTAGAACACTGCAAGTGCTTCCTGACTCCTTCCTGAATTCAGTCTTTTTCTTGGGAGCTCTGAAACTTTTCACTTGGTTGGAGCACTCATAAGGGTATTCTTTTCTATGGATACTGTGCCATCTTACATCATTTTAGCTTTCTCTCTAGCTGATGTGATTTAAAACCAGTCAATAAAAGCAATCAAAGGAGGAGACAGACAGATGCACGAGCATCTCAGGAAACTCAGCTAATGATTCTGTGTTGCCCTAATAGAAAGATATTGCAAAATACAAAGATACAAAAGAAACCAAACTACCCCAAACCTCAAAGCTGCCACACACAACAGCACTGATTTTCAGTCTTGTACACATCTGTCACAAGAATGCAGCCCTTGGTATGTTCCTGGCACCTCCTGCAAAAACAAGTCTTCTCTGGTCAGCAGGCTTGAGCCCACAACCACGAAGGTTGCAGACTGAACAACTCAACAACGATAACTAAAAAGATGCACGCGTTTCAGAAAAAGCAGGATATAAATCACAGCACTCACGTTGCTTCATCTAATATAGCAACTGCCCAGTAAGTACAGATTCAGGAAGGCACTCAAAAAACTGGAAAACATTTCTGATGACTTCATTGGGCTGACTATGCTAATACAGTTCTGTTCGATTATTAACTTTTTGTTTTCTCTGGGGTGCCTTCACAATTCATTGCCTCTCGTCTTTTTTTCAGCCCTATTTTTCTTACCCGCTTCTTTAAAATAGAGTGTAAATAGTTACATGTAAATTTATGCAAGAACTGATCTGTTAATACACAACTTCCAAAAGATATTCGGCGTAGGACCGTCTACTACCAAGTACATTCTTATAGCTTTGCTTTCTTTGATATCTCCAGCTCCTTTTAACACAGCCATTCCAGGTTGGTAAGGAGCTCACAATTCTTGGTTAAAAACTCATTTAATTACTAAGCAGATTTTTTGATCTATGAATTGTATAAAGAATAACAGATTTGATAGAAATAATTTTAAGGACTCTACATCTAATAGCCAAAAATTGAGAGAATCTTGCCAGGATTGAGTGTTATCAGTCTTGACCATTGAAGCTCTGGCTGTGGTGGAGAAAAGGAAGAACCAGCTCATTTGGCCCCATGGCTGTATGAAGAAATTCCTTTTTTTTTTTCCTCTAGCCTTCTGCCTCAGTCACCATCTATCTGGTGCTACATTAAAAAAAAAAACAACCAACAACAGTGATTTTGGTAACAGCAATTGTTCATGTAAAAATGATGGCATAACAGAAAAAGGCCTCCTGGGTATCACTGAAGCACAAATGATTACCAGATACGGTGCTAACACTTGTGTGTGCTATATGAGTGGGCACACTTCCTCATCTGAGCATTCAATACAGTTACTTGGTGGTTTTGCACACAGTATATTCTATATATAAACGGACATATGAGGAAACCCAAATGGAATAACTTTTCTGCCCTGTTTAAAACAGCGGCAAAGTTGAAATTTAGGATGTTGACCACTCACATCAGCTGAATAGCTAGTAACAAAATTTGTTGTTGTCTATATATGCCAGTCAGCAGAGAGTTACACAAAGTATCCTTTAACTGTATATGTTCTGGATAATGGATAGACAGGCAGTTCTGGAGCTGGACCATTCATGCACGCGGCTTAGATAATCTGTCTCCAATCCTCAGGATTTACTTCTCAAGATATTCCTTCTGACCACCTTTCCACCTTATTTCACAAACATTTACGTACTAATTAAAGCAGCATCATTAATATAATCCTGAATGTTGTCAAAATCTAACGGCACACTTTAAGGATTTGTCAACTAACTTTGTTGATTAGGAACAGGGTGTCAAATGAGCTACTGACATTACACTTAATAAGGATGAGAGCTACTTGGCACCTGTTGGTGAAAATAAAACACAAAGAGTGTCAGTAATATTCCTTCACTACTGCTGTTGACAGGTACTGTCAAAGATGATTGGACACCTTCACAAAAATACTTACTGCAGGGTGAAAAGTCTTCTGGCATCATAAACCATTCTGTCAACAGCGCCTTACCTCAGAACACAAGCCAACAATACCATGTACATAAATGTCTCCTTAACTTGCATTTCCAGTTGGGAAAAATGCTCCTAATGAACTCTTCTTTTGTTCAAGAAAGGACAAAATGTGTTACAGAGATGAGTGAAGAGTCTTTTCGAACAGGAAACAATTAACTCACTTTGGAGCATTATCACCTATAAAGCTGTCTGTCACAAACAGCTCTGCTTTCAGCTCAGTTTTGCTCACAGCCAACACCGTGAGCGTGCCCTACTGCTGACAGTGCGTTTTGGTGCCACTCTAGGCATCCCATCTTCTATGGAAAAGACATTTTTGGTAGTGCTGTAGAAAGTGTGATACCATCCAGCAGGAAGCAATGGGAAAAAAGCACACCGTGTTGCATTTTCTTTTAGTATAATACAGGTCATCCTGAGAAAATACGCATGCTATGTCAAGATTTACGCACAGAATTTAGCCAAATTTTATCATGTTTCCACTTGAGGAGTGGAGAACAGCTCCTTCTTAAGGACCAACTGTCCTCTGAATTGTTTTTAATAAAACAGGTTTCAGATGGCATGGAATCATGAAGTGCTAATGGGAATAGAGCTCTTTATGAGAAGAGCTGAGATACAGTTTTAATTTGGTCCAGTTTATTTTGGAATTCAGGGATGAGTCCTTGCATTTACTTAATCTACTCTCAACTTTCTGTTGAGATATTGAGAGAACTTCAAAAGGTGAAGAACACTGAACACTTTTCATCAGGAAACAGTTTATTACTTTATTT